TACATTATAGGTCAGATCTGTGGAGCGGCAACCCAATTCACACAGAGAATTATTGTCTTTTTGAGCAAGAAACACCCGAAGAGAATAAATGCTAGATAGATGTGTTTAGTGTTATACCATGGAACAGTTGAAAAGCAATAACATCCATGGAAACAAGCAGGTGACAGACCCTCCACCAGAAAAGCTGCGCAATACACCTTTAAATATGCCCCATTCAAGTCTCCAATTAACCTTTGTGAGTAAAATACATTTTGGATTTGATCATGTTACCTGTGATGAAAAAAAAATCACATACCCAGCCCTTAAAAATACAGCTTAAATGTAGTTTTATTCCATTTGATGTGAGACTCGTTTGAGATTTCAGTTTCAGAAGCGAAAGTTTCTGGCTGCCTTTGCTACTGCAACTCTGACGTCAGGATATATTTTGAGCATGAATTTGGTGAAAGCAGAATTTCACACAAGAATTTCCAGCACCCCTTTTCTTGTCAAACTTGACCTGAGGTAGGAGGTTGCAGCACAGTTTTGATACCGTCTCATGGCAAAGCTGTAGTTGAACCTGTAATGCATCCTCCCTGGACAGAAAAATGTCAAATGGATTTCCCTCACCCTGGAAGCTGCCTCTTGACAACCAAAATTGGACCCTTTGGCGTTTACACTGAGCTCTGAAGCCTTCACACACTGGAAATGTCACCTGTCATCTGCACTTATTGTCTGCTCTCTGTTCTGTCTGACCCTGTAGTGAGGCTACTTTAGATACCCCGCGAACAGCATTATCCAAGGCGATGGGAGGAGGGCAAATTGGAACAGCCACCAGTATGCTAGTTACAAGGGACAGAGAGCATGACAGGGCATCTGGGGCCACTTCTGCTGCACAAAAATGTCATTTACTTTACAAAAGAGTTTAAGAAATGTGCAGGGTACGCTAGGAGAGTTCAAAGTCTGCTTATTTATATTACATAATAATGGTCAGTGGTGGAAAGTAACAATGTACAAAAGTAAAAGTACAATACTTGAATACAAAATTTAGGTATCTGTACTTTACTTAATTGCATTTTATATTGGATACTTTTTACTTTTACTTCACTACTTTTGAGAGCGTGCATCTGTACTTTCTACTCCACTAACTTTTTAGATCTGAACTGAAAAGTAAAAAAAAAACTTTTTTTTCTGGTTGAAGACCTGTTGAACTGGCAGAACCTCTTTTTCAGAACACTTAATTTGAGTTAACATCCTAACTTTGAGCAAAACAAATACACAAAAACAAAATCCAAATCACTACATTTCATCCTTTAATTGTTCTAAAAACCTCTGCCAAATACTTGTGTTATTTAGTATTCCTTGGTTATACTGCTTATACTCCTGAATGTGATTTAAATGTCCTTTCTACACCCTTTTTCACAAGAGATGGCTCAATGAAACATGACTAGAGGAACAATGGTACGCAAAATCTAAACAACTTCTAAAGCTTCTACAGATGGTCAATTTGGAAAGTTACAGCTTCTCAACAACATCTCATCTGTGGCATTACCTTTTACACGGCATTCAATAGCAGCATTTTACCACTCAAAAAGGTCAAAAATAAACTCAATGCAGTTTTTGCTATTTGGAATGAAAAGCTTATTCCACTGATAAAGATAAAATGAAAAAAGCAACATTGTGAAATATGAGTTATGGACAACAGCTTCTTCAATTTAACAAACATGTGAACAAGTCGAGCAAAATCTAAAACAACTGCTTATTTTAATTACATAGCGGTGTTCCTTCCTGTTTTCTATCACTATATTGCCAATCACAAGGTTGATCATAAAGTCTACATTTAGTTTTGATTTGTTTTTAATTGTTTGTAACACTGAGGTCATTTTCAATCTCAAACCGCAACACTAGTGGACTTTGGATTCTTTGGCTGCTGTTCACTTTGATTCCATTTTATCTAGTTTTCATTTTATACAAAGATTATGATTTGTCCACTATAAACAGCAATACTGATCTAAAATGGCTTAAAAATAGAAACAGATGTGATATGTTTTTTTAACATTACATGAATGATCCAGAGTCAGAATTTTTGGAAAAATCACAAGAAAGCACAGCGCAGTTGGCCAAGATGCGGCAGGTGAAAACAGAAATTTTCAGAGCGCTCAAGTCTCGAATGCGGATTACAAAATTACTCAAACATGCATGAATAAATACAACTTTGAGTAAACTAAACATGAGGTCACTGTTATGACATGGTTAAAACCTCATAGACGTAGATATGAAGTGCACCCTTCAAGTCTCCAATTAACCAGTGTGTTCTAAAGCTTGAAAAGGAAGAAATGTGGTGAACAAAGCCATGTCTTCAGAACTTTCTATGGGATTTCTCTGCGGTTACACGTCCATAACGAGACATGTACACAGTTCTGACTGTCCCCAAAGACAAAAGTACGACTGACAGTGGCCACAGAGGACCTCCCCAAAGTGTACACACAAGACACACTTGAATTATTCCTTTTGATAGCCCTGTGCGTTGTGTTTTAGTGTGCTAGGGCATCTCCCAACAATGAAGTCAAGCTCTGTCAAAACATCACTATACAAAAAAGAAAAGTATAAAGAAAGACAAAGAGATACAGAGGTGGTGGAGTGTTTAGGCGTAAGCAAAACAAAAGACCACGAAGGAGGATGAGAAATGCATCCAAAAATATTACTGAGTCACTTCCTATGGCCTCAAAAAGAAAGGACTTCCTGTTTCACATCAAAACTCCTGGGAGTAATTTTTAAATATATGAAAACATCTACTAATGTCTCTGAACTGACCCTAACCCGGAAAAATGGAAGCAGATCCAAAAGAAAAAAGCCATTATTTTCATACAAAGGACACTGGAAGTTGTAGAGAAGAGAACATCTGGTTTGTAGTAGGAGCCTGCCCTCTCATAACCCCTAACCTGTCTTTACTGGAGGGAGGGGGCTACACACACAGACACTACCCCAGACCTGTTGATTTCCCAGCATGCAACGCTCGCATTCCTGACCTCCTTCTGTCACTCTTTCACTTAACTCACCCCCTACTACGGACTACACTTACAAACTCGCCTTGAAAGTGAATTGAGAGCTAGAATGTTTTATTAAAAAGACAGTCTATCATAGTCCAGCTACTATAGAAGTATTTCTGCAATATTTCGTGTAATCTTTTTGGAGTTACCCTCTTGTGGTTTGGGGAAGTGTCACTTGAATGGTGGCACCCTGCTGAGTTTGGAATTTGGTGACAAGTAAAGGGGGTCTTTTTTCCGCCTCTTGTTCACAAATATCTTAATCAGGTTGCACCAGACCACAAAGGAGACTGTGGGATGTCCTAAATTTTTAGCACAACCTACTTAGATCCATTTGATGAATTATTCACATGAATACCGGGGGTTGCTGCAACAACTTGTCAATTGATGCTTGGCAAACAAATTTAAGCTTCTGACAAGGCTATAAAGGTATTGCAAGTGCCTAAGTATACAAGGGGTTGCACAACACTGAACCCAAAGCTAACAAGAACTGACAAAGATTTATGTTGACGGATATAGACAGAATTTTGTAAACACAAGATGCTAGGAAGTGATAAAATGGTTAATACGGTAAGATTATTTTGCAGCGGAATTTAAAATAGTAACTGGAATCGTCATTATTAAAGGGCCTATATTACTCAATCTACTGATCTATGTTATAATCTTGTTTTGTTATCAAAAACACACCCAGACTTGTGTTTTGTTTCATTGTCACATATTTATCACATACACGCCCTGCATATTAAATAAGTTCTTCTCAAATTGAAAACACATATGGAACACCTTGTGATGTCATGTGGTAATAGAGGAATTGCTCCAGTGTGTCTTTTAATGCCATACACCTTCACGAAAAACATTCTGCTTCATGACATCACAAGGTGGAACAGAGCATTTTGAGCTTTGGCGATGTAGACAGATTAATAATAAAGAGTTACTCAAACGTGTAAATGAAACAAAGCACAACTCCAGGTATGTTTTTGATTAGGTAACAAAAGTCTAACATGGCTTAAAGCTCAGATGAGTCAATTTTGTGTAATATAGGACCTTTAACAAACATCTCCCTTGGAGCTGTATAAAAAAATATGTTTTATCCTGTTTAGAAGTACATGTGAATCTTGCATTAATCAGTGTGCTTATTGTTGAATGAGATTTGTAATGTGAACTGAATATTGGTTTATTTTTATGCAATCTAATGGAAATGCTTTGTGATTATATAATTGCACCAAAATCCTTGAGCCTTTTTAACAAAAGATGGTGCAAACAATGAAACTTGACCAGAGGAAAAATGGTACCCAATATGTAAACAACTTTGAAAGCTCTTACAAATGGTCTCTATGAAAAGTTACAACTAGGCCAACACACACAACATATCTGTCAGTACCACTGGTTTTTGAGGCAACAACACACCATTCAATCATTTAACCACTCAAAAAACCTGTATAATTTTTGCTATTTTGAATGACAACTTAATTCTATTGCTAAAGAACAAGTGTAATTGGCAAGGATAAATTATGCAAGTTGTAATGATTCCAATAAGGCTTGTCATGATAACACATTTTGACCCCACAAGCGGGTTATGCCCAAACGTATTCTAAATGTAATAGCTACAAAAACAGGAACTGCGATAAATAAATATATAGCAGAATAAATCACTTTATTTATTTTCATTATTTATTCAACCCCTCTACAGCTCAAATCTTATCATAATATAGAAAAATACCAAAACGTTCCTCGCTAGTACAAAGAAAAAGTCCTTATGATAAATACTGACCCCAAAAAATGTAGTGTTCTATCTAATATACTGCATAATGAATGATAAATTCTCATTCTTGAACTAATTCCAATGAAAACAATGCATACAACATAACAACTTCCTCAAATTTGACAGTCATGACAAGATAGTTGCACAAATTCTCAAAATATTAACTTAATTTTTGATGACACAACATTAGTTATTCTGGGAAAAATATGACTTACTGTTAGAGGTGCCTCCATGCTGACTGGACACTTTTGGTGGACTGATCTTGCTCTTTGGAACTGTCATGTCCTCTCTCCTCTCCTCCTGACTGGATGCTTGGATCTCACTCTCACATTGCCCCTTGTCCATCGTCACGGCAACGGTCAGCGACTTTTGCCTGTTCGCAGTCCCATCGCTACCTGCCCTCATCAGCTTCTCCCCCACCCGCGATCGACTGGCCGTTCCGGGGCATTCCTTCCTCGGAGACGGCAGCTTGGAGTGGGGTCTGACCAGCCTGGAAGCTTTTGACATCCCTGATTGCGCACACTAAAGCCCCCTCTGTGTCTCCCAAGGGTGCTCCAGCTTGCTTGACGTGGGTGCTCTTACGGTTAACAGCGTGTTGTGACTAGCGCAGGTAGACTGGAAGACTTGAAAGTGGAAGGGGGGGAGGGACCTTTTTGGGAAGTCAAGGGGGTTAATAGAAGCTTCAAAGGTGTACCTCTGCTCTGGTTCAGCCTGTTGAGCTCATCCTCCAAAGCAAACAGTAGGTGTGTTTTGAGAAGTGGGACAGACCTGTGGAGTGACAAGACTTAAAAACTTCCCCAGTCAGCAGATTCCTTGTCAGAACTCAACATTGTAACTCCAATTCACGTAAACACTTGGAAGCACGGGGTCTCAATCATCTTGTCAACTTCTGAGATCAAATAATTCCATTTCGTTGCCAGAATCGCGTGCAGTCTTCTCTTTTTCGGGTCGCTGTTCCACGCTTGATGCTCAGCGGGTAACCAGGAGAGCAGAGAGGAAAAGATTTACAGCCTGTGAGGTAAAACGGAAAAAAAGAAAAAAAAAACGAAAGTGCCGGGGGAGGCTTTATAGCAAGAGAAAGCTTGTCTTCTTCAGGTGCAGATGTGCGAAGCGTTCCAGATGTGCGCGCTCCTCTCCCTCACGTCATCAGTAAAACCTCTCATACAATCGCTGGCTTCAACTCCTCGGTCTATATATATGTTTTTTCCTTTGCTTCTCTCCGGCCACTTCTCCCATGCTTGCCTCGGTTCACATGTGGAGATGTTCAGCCGACTACACGCAGAGAAAGCACACACACACACCAAAGCCTGACTGTGTGGTGGAATTTACAGAGAATTAAAGAGCAGAGAGGAGGGAGCGCTGGTGTAGAGATGTGCAGTGCCAAAGCCTTTCGCTGTGGATTGGAGGAGACAGGCTTAAAACAAGTGATCACTCCAGTTGGCTTTTGACAGTTTCGCCTCCAGAACAGATCTACTTTTGTTCTTTGAAACACTCTTGGAATGGTTTTCTGACATGTGCAGAAAGGATGACAAGGAAAGCAATTACTCTAACGCAAGACTGAGTCAAATACAATGGTGTAGCTACTTAGAATACAGGTTTACACAGTTGTTTAGGTTTGGTTTAGTGAAGTTTTTTTGTACTATATAACTTTTCTGTTAGACGGTCTGCTACTTAGAATATCCCACAGTATGGCATTAATTGTATATCTCACACGTAAACATGCAGGTGATGCCACTAAGCCAAGTAAAAGGTCATATCTGTGGAGAGGTGAGCCCACTTCCAGTAAGAATGCATGTTTTTCAGGTAATTTTGATAACAGAAAAATACACAATAAGTAAGTTAAATGCCATATGCGGAACATTCCAAGCAAAGCAATAACATCTCCATGGAGACGAGCAGGTGAAAGAGGCAGACCCACCAGAAAAATTACATATAAGCAAATTTTAACATTGCTTCTGAGCTGTAATGTCAGTGACCAATTCTTGAGAGCCAGAGTGACAGTTAAGATATAGGAGAATCCAATACAGTCAATACTCATAGTACTATTAATTCTTTAACTGCTTGTCAATAATTTTTAATCCTACTTACTGTCACTAAATTCAAAATGCATTGAACATCCATACCTTCATCCTAACACCAGATGTTGAAATTACATTCTCATAGTATATTTACACAGACACTACTACAACCACCCCACTGCCCTATGTGATAAACTGATTGGATTGATTCACTTTGCAGACAGGTCATTTGACACGCTGGCCCATATCGAGTCTGCCGCCCCACGTGCACGATATGATGGGCAAACAGACATGTGACCAAAGAGAATACCATGGCGTGCTCACTGACTTCACACTACAAAATGGATTACAGCAAAAGCAAAGGATCAACAGTGTCCAGGCGATGTGTCATAAAAGCGTAACAGTCCACCGGGGTTAGACACTGGCACGGGACATCTCTGTACAAAATAGATATAAAAGAGTTGCAGGAGTTATTCATGGTAGCTGCATTATGTTAGTGTCATCACAATAATAACATTTCAATCTGAATTTTGATACTAAGGCATACTTGACACTCAAAACCTAATAAAAAAACACTCTTTCTTTAGACAATAGAATTAGATTTTCAACATGAAATCAGAAGACTTTCTTTTTTATTATTATTATGTGGTTTTATATCTGCGTAATCCCTCAGTTGTGCAATAATTCCATAGTCCATGGGCGTATACAACTCTATGTAGTTTTATACTTGATCTGAAACAGCTCAAGATCGTTCTAAAACTATTCAGAAAAGGTCCATTTCTGTCTTGTGAATGTAACTTTTTTGGTATCGCTATATGCTCAAATTAGTATCTTGTTTTGATATTAGAAATACAAAATATAATCAGTTGCCTCTTCCGAATACCCAAAGATGCCTTATAGACTACTAAACCCTTATACAATAGAATCAATAGAATCAAATTTATTTGTCATTCCAGTATAAAAAATACACAGAAACGAAACAATGCACTCAGGTCCAGGTCAACAGCAGCACAGATAACAATAAGAACAAATAGTTATAATAAGAATAAAATAGTTAAAAATATTGTATGTCAACCCGCCCCCATTTTCATGACATGACAACATCCCTGACAATATACAATTTTAATCAAATCTCAACATTCCATAAATCAGATTGACCTACATATTTTACTCACCAATGAAATATTCACAGACAAAATCTGGAGAGGGAATAGAACCCACGTAGATTACATGACGTTGAATATATTTGGATTTTTAATATTATGATATTAGCATCAGATTAAATGTGAGATTATGATTTTGCGTCATGGCTTTGATCGCATTTTGCTGTGTTTACCAGATAGTACAAGTGGCAGATTACGTCAAGTCTAAATAGGGACTGACCACGAGAGAGAAAAAAAAAATGCTCGGAGGGATACAGTGTTGTGTATAATTCTATGGGTTTAGTGTATGTTAGCATGTGTGTGTATTGGAAGCAAATGAAAGCCTTGTGGGATCTGTGCCTCCCAGCCCGCCGCAAACCCAACAGTATAGGACAAACAGAAAAGACTAGCTTCAAAGCAGTTAAATAACATAGCATTTAGGGGACAGATATAATTTCAGTTTCCTAATTAAGCCGTGATGCATCATAAGAAAAATATATATCGAATAATGAGCCCCTTGTCAGCAGAGGAGCAGGGCATGGACTTCATTTGCACTTCAAAACTTGTGGTATGAAACAATACACCACAATGTCAAAGTAGAGATGTTAGCTCGGGTAATAGAAACGGACGGAGTAATGGAGAGCATTAACTTGATTTTAGGGGTGGGCATTTTGGGATAGAGATGTATAAGTGCATGCATGATAAAGTGGAGGAGGGGTTGACTATAGGAGGTAAAGAAGGCATGCAGCCAGGGTTGTCTGAGTGCCTCTCTGGTATTTCACTAATTAAGTGACGCTTGGGTCTCAGGGTTGTTTCTACACTAGGGGCACAGGTTATAAACAACTCACTTAGAATTCATTATGTTGAAGCCGAAGGTGGTTAAGAGTAGAGTGAGGGGAGAGCAAGTTGTTTTGAATGAGAATATAAGGTAATGCTGCTATGCTACTGGAAATGTTTATGTTTTTATAAAGAATCAAAAATGAATATTCTCTTATTTTTACTTCTTGAATACACCTGGAAATCATATGGTTATCTATTATTCAGCTGAAATGAGAGTTACAAAAAATTATATTGTGTAAATGTCTCAATAAAGATCCCATATTACGCAAGTTTGAGTCTTGTGAGCTTAAAGCCATGTTAGAATGTTGTTACCTCATCACAAGCATACCTTAAATTGTCTTTTGTTTCATTCACACATGTTTGAGCAATCCTTTATTATTAGTCTGTCTACATCCCCCAAAGCTCAAAATGCTCAGTATCACCTTGTGATGTCATGTAGTGGTAGTTTTCATGTTAATGGCTGCCTTTTACTTTTAGTTCATTAGAGATTGGCAGAACTGAAATCATCCAAATGATTCTAGTGAAGGTGCATGGAGATTAAAAACAAAGTGGAGCACTTCCTGTATTGCCAAATGACATCACAAGTTGGAACAGGTGTTTCCCATTTGAGAGAAGAACACGTCTTAAATATACTGGGGTTGTGTGTTAAACATGTGTGAATGAAACAAAACACAACTCCAGGTGTGTTTTTGATTAAGAACCAACATTATAACATAAATTAGAAAATAGCGTAATATGGGCCCTTTAAAGGTGCGCTATGTTACTTTTCTGGTGGAGGGTCTACCAACTGAGTGTCGCCATGGAGATGTAAGCTGTTATGACAAAACAGAATGGAAGAATATAATATTCCTACAAACACTGAACTATTTTGTTGACGGAGAGAACGAAAAACAGTCAGTCAGAGGGTTGGCAGTTCAACTTTTCCTCTCACTGACACAGATTTTACAAACATTGGCCAATACAGTAAACATATGTGACAGGTAGGGCATCTGGGGTAAAATGCCACATTGCCATCTCTATTCTATGGATGTGACCCATAATACTGAAACAAGATGTGCAGTATTGCTTTCAACTGTACTCAATTACAACCCATATGTACACGGAAACCTCAGACAAACACAGCCTTGTTTTACCCACTGACTCATGGTCATCACACAAAGGCCAAGTTGGCACAGGGCTAAGGGGATCTGGGATGTCCTGTGGGGGAGGGGTGCACTGTGTACCTCTGCTCAGGATTAAGAAGAGTTTGTTTTTCAGAGCCCCAGGGGTTGGTTGTTTCATTACATACCACTGAAGACAGCACGCCCTCTAGCTACAGCATGACTCACCCTAACTGGAGCTTTGACTCAATATCAGACCCTCAATCTGGTTCAAGTATGAGAAGAACACTAAGTCATATGAGACGAACAGAAGGAAGAAGTAGTAGCTGTGAGACATTTGAAATTATGTTTAAAAAAAATAGATTTGTGTGGTGGATACCTCTGCCACCACTCCACAGTGTTAGTATTATTTCATTTAATTTCCATTAAGTTAATTACAAGACACATAGTTTAATTTAATTCCT